AAGGGCAAATTGGAAATGAGCTGGACAGAGAGGTGAATATATGAGGAGAGAGAAATGAGTTGATGGAATAAAATATATAGGTTAGTAGTAGGTTTTAGTAGGTTTGAAAATTGAAAAAAGTATGAATAGTGTATTTTCAATAGAAATTCGATAGGAAAAAATGGGATTTTCTGGATAAAATTGTGAAACAAACATGATCTCGGTTTTATGAATAATATAGAACTGGAAATTGGTTTTGGAAATAAAACCAAACATCCCCACTGTGTCTATTCTATTCACACTCCTTTTCTCTACTTTGCTCCATTTCCCAAAAAAAAAAGAGCAGAACAATTGGCCATCTTTATTTTAATTTCTTAATTTCAAGAAACCCCCACACAACAAAAAGTACCCAAAAGAAAAAAAAAAGATTACTTTTTTATTAGAGAGAAACAGAGAAAGGAAAGAGAGATGAAATGGGAATTATACATGAAGATGCGGTTTTAATTAAGGAATCTGAGAAAGAAGGTGAACACACAGTTATCACTGTCAACTGTCCAGACAAAACCGGTCTTGGTTGCGATCTTTCTAGAATTATACTTCTTTTTGGACTCAGTATTGCCAGAGGAGGTAATCTTTTTTTTCTTTTTTTTTTTAATGTTTTAAACATTTCTGGGATAAGAAATATGATCTGGGTTTTATTAAAGATTGTTCTTTTTTTGGTTGTTTTATTGATTCTTGATATTGAGATGCATGTGCACTGGAATTCAGATAGAGGGATAAAAGAGTAATTTAAACAAAATTTGTATACTGGGTTTTGCTTATTAAATTATTTATGATCTGGGTTTTATTAAAGATTGTTCTTTTTTTGGTTGTTTTATTGATTCTTTATATTGGGATGTATGTGCACTGGAATTCAGATAGAGGGTTAAAAGTGTAATTTAAACAAAATTTGTATACTGGGCTTTGCTAATTAAATTATTTATGATCTGGGTTTTATTAAAGATTGTTCTTTTTCTGGTTGTTTTTATTGATTCTTGATATTGAGATGTATGTGCAATGGAATTCAGATAGAGGGTTAAAAGAGTAATTTAAACAAAATTTGTATACTTGGCTTTGCTAATTGAATTATTTAACTCTTGTAGTCTAAGTGTTGATGATTAGGTTTCTGGTGAAGTTTTGAATTTCTAGGGTTTATAGCACATCTTTCATGCTCAAGAAATTACCCTAGAACAGAGTAATTTTACTGTCGAAAAATATCGATACTTTATTGGATTTTGTTTAATTTATTGAGTTCTTTTTAGTGATTAATATATTTTTTCGGTGTAAAACAGATCTTTCGACAGACGGCAAATGGTGTTACTTGGTTTTTTGGGTGATTGGGAAGCCAACGACTCGGTGGAGTTTGTTGAGGAAGAGGCTGCTTGAGGTATGCCCTACTTGTATTCCATCAGCTTCCGGGATCTTCTATTTTATTCCGGAGTTTCAACAGCCGAAGCCACCGCAGATTTTCCTGCTCACGTTTTGGTGCTCGTATGATCGAAAAGGCCTTTTACATGGTACATTTCCACTTGATCAAATAAATATTAAAAAAAATAAGTGGCAAATTATTTAAAAGGGATTGCTTTACTTGGTTGTTCGATGTTTAGTCATTTGCTTGTTTGTAGGTTTTCTTGTATAATATTGACTGGTTCCGATTTTCTCTGTCTAAATTTGACTTCAAGATTGTATATGTTGTCTGAAAACAATTATTAATTTGCAACAATTAACGAGAATATTCATAAGCAATGGCTATTTAAGTTACCTTAATGAAATAGCATAGTTGAAATTATATATTCATTATAATCGAGTCTTACTAGTCGTTGTCGTATTACATCGATTACGTCTCTTCGTTGCGAATTAAATTATGCGAAAAAATTACCTTGATTTAGTTTTTCATTTATTTATCTTTTTCTTTGCTTGTTTCCAATTTTTTTATCGTTGATTAAAATATTTATATTTTAATGTCTGCATCAGATGTGACGGAGGTTCTTTACGAGTTAGAACTAACGATAAAAAGAGTGAAAGTTTACACTGCACCCGATGGAAGAGTGATGGACCTCTTTTTCATTACAGATACCAGGTTTGTCTTTAGTAAATTGACTCGTCTTTTATCCGTTTAATTCAACGTGGTTTTTAACAAACGCGAATCGAGTAAAAATCTGAACTTTACAGCTGAGCGTTTTAACATGTTGACCTTTCGTAGAACTAATGGCACGCATCATGTATTTATTCGTAATTTTTTTTTGTTGTTATATTATTATCACAGAGGGTAATTAATATTTAATTAATCTCGCCTTTAAATTAATGTTCTTTAAATTCATTAAAAATATTATAATGTGTAGGGAGCTTCTTCAAACGAGTAAGAGGCGTGACGAAACAATCAAGCGTCTGAAAATTGTATTAGGAGATGCAATGTTGAGCTGCGATATCGAGCTTGCAACTCCCGAAGTTGCCTCGTGCTTAAAGCCGTATCTTCCATCGGAAAATATTTTCAATCTGCCGATTTCTGACGAACAATCGAGCGGAGTAGTATCGTCCGATTCTGTATCTATCGTGTTTGATAACACACTCAGCCCTTCTCACACACTCGTTCAGTTCTTTTGCCAAGATCACAAGGGCCTCATTTACGATATCATGCGAACACTAAAAGATTACAACATCCAGGTATTTTATTTTATTCGGGGGGCCACTGTATTTATTCTAATTGCCCAAAAACCCCTCTTGTTATTTGTATTAGCATAATAAACCCGCTGTGATCGAGAGTCGGAGGTAAATAGACCCCTTGGGGCTGGCTAACTGTGTGACTCTCTCGTGGAATGTGTGACCCTTTATGCGATTTTTTAGATTGAAATGACACAAAAGTCCTTTAATAAGATGCCCTTTGTATTGGTCGTGTTTTTATTGAGGGGTATTTGTGTCAATTTTCAGTTGGTCAGCACACAATAGATCAGACGCAAAAATGAGCTAAAGAAAACACAACCAATAGGACTATAGGAGAGTTTATATAGCTAATAAATAAATAAAAAAGGCCCTTCTTTTGCATTTTTTAAAACAATTTTTTTATAATTAAAAAAAAAATTAATTTTTTTTCTCGAACTATTGTCAGGTTTCATATGGCCGTTTCTTCGCAAATACGGAAGGGAACTGCGAGATGGAATTATTCATAATGCAATCCGACGGGAAAAAAATAACCGACACACAAAAAAGAAACGCTCTTTCATCTAGATTGAGAATGGAGCTTATCCACCCCCTTAAAGTCGACGTAATAAGCAAAGGCCCCGATACCGAGCTTCTTGTGGTTAACCCCGTCGAATTGTCAGGCAGGGGCCGCCCCCTCGTCTTTTACGATATTACCCTTGCTCTCAGCATTTTAAATATAAGCATCTTTTCGGTAAGAGTCCATTGTATTCTCTCCGTTAACTATTTTCAATTATTTCTTCTTTTACTTGGCACTAATTTTAATAGTTTTCGCTGCTTCTGTTTCGATTTTTTTTTAGGTGGAGATAGGTAGACATATAATCGGAGAACGAGAATGGGAGGTGTATAGAATCTTGTTGGACGAATGGGATTGTTTATCGGCGACGAGAAACGAGATTAAGGATTGTGTAAGAAAGAAACTAATGGGTTGGGAATGATTTTTAGATATAGTATATATACTGTACAGGATAGGTATGTATGTTGTACATATGTGTTAATTTGCCACTTAATTGTAAATTTATATGTAAATAGTTTGTTTAAATGAGCAAGTTTATTACTTATTATACTTGATTATTACTTTTTGGTCTTTTGATAATGATTTTAGGACCTAAAGAGGAAAAAGAATGGACCAATTCTGCATGAAAAATACTAAAAATTTTGAAGTTAAATGAGTGTAAACGAATTCGAGCTTGAGATTGAGAGTATACTACATCCACGGGGTCAATTTTTGACGCAGAGCGGAAGTGAACAATAAATTACAACGAATTAATCCTATAGAATAAAAGAACATTTGTAATCCACCGAAAACTCTGGAATCACTACAAAATAGAGAAAACTTTGAAGTATTAAAATTCGAAAAAAAAAATCTCTGAAAATAAAGGCATAATTAGGGGTGGAAATCGGAACGAAATTTCCGATTTCCGCCGAATCCGATCCGATTTTTTCCGATTTTGGAACGAATTTTTGTAGTCCGAATTCCGAAATTCCGATTTCCGATTTTTTCCGAAAAAATCGGATCGGAATTGGAATTGTATATGAATTATCCGGAATTTCCGAATTCCGATCCGAAAATAATTCCGAAATTTCCGATAATATTTCCGAAATTTTCCGAAATTTTCCAAAATTTATTAATATTTCTTCATTACTAATTTACTATTGCTTCTAGTTAGGTTTTGAAAAGCCCACTTTAGCAAGGCAGCCCACTTTAGCAAACTGATGAGTCTAAATATTGAACATTTAGAATTTTAGGACTAAACAGTAAATACCACAAACTTAAAATAAAACCCTAATTTCTTCCTCCTCTTCTTGCGCCGCTCACATCTCCCTCTTTTGAACTTTTTTTTTCTTCTTCTTCTGCACCACTCATAGCTCCCTCTCTGAACTTTTTTTTTTCTTTTCTTTCGACCGCCGACTCTTCTTCTCTACCATATGAGTCATAACACCTAACTTCCATATCTTTCCTTCGCGAAACAGAGGCTGGAATTGCTGCAAAATACCACAGTCTTTTTTCTATCAAGATTGCCGGAGTTGCTGCCAAAAGCTATCGTTATTCTCTGTAAATCTCCGCCGTGGCCGTTGCTTTTCTACCGTGCTTCAGTCGCCGGGCATAATCAACGATGTTTCCGAAAATTCCAGAATTCCGATTTTTTTTTTCGGAATTGGAATCGGAACGACCTTTAGCATTCCGAAATTTTCGGAATCGGAAACGGAAGTGATTTTTCACTTCCGAAAAAAATCGGAAATTTTCCGAAGGGGTGGATTCCGATTCGATCCGTCCGATTTCCACCCCTTGGCATAATGCATCTATTTATACTAATAAAACTGAAACCCTAATTAAACTGAAACCCTAATTAAACTAGGAAAATAATACAAGTTACCAAAAATGGTAAAAACGAGTTGCCTGATTCTAGTAGGTCTAGTAATTTTGGGAACAACCCAATTTACGGAATCCTAATCCGATTTTTCGGTTATTTCTATGCTACACCCCGTGAAGACTACAATGGTTGATTTTTTATCGTTGATCTACACACACCAATGTGGGTGTGTGAGTGTGTTTGTGCGTATATAAATGGTAAAGATCTACCCGGTGCAATTTACTCGGTGTAGCATATAATAGAACCGATTTTTCCACTAATAAAGCATAATTCATTTTTATAAGGTTTTTTTTCCGGGAGCAAAATAGTAAATTAAATTGTTATTTTCTTCAACCTCCAACCTAATTTCGAGCGCACAAAGTGCGATAAAATAAAAAAACACAACGGATAATTGAAAAAAAAAATATTTTCTTACAAAATAAAATCAAAGAAACTTTTATCACTCAATTGATAGATCTTTTATTGTAATTGGTGGAAATATTAGGTATAAATATTTGGTATAAATATTTGGAAGAGAATATGATTTTCATATAACTTGATAATGGAATAGCTAAAGGATTTTTATTTTTCGTAAAATATTTTTTGCGATAAAAAATATAATTTTTAAATATCACTAAAAATATTAAATTACGTTTATTAGCTTTACAAACTCATGTGGGCACTTATGCATGAATCATGATATATTGTGTTTCGAGGGATCATAATGCTATTAATTTGCTTTGAGGGTGCAAAGTGAGACTAAGCCTTAGTATGATTTATTTATTTATTTGGGTAAATTCTACTTCCCACTTGTACTTTGGTTCGATATCACTTTATCCCCTTCTACTCTCAATTTCATCGATTTGCCCCCTGTACTTAAAAAATTGTCTCAATATGGCCATTGCCGTTAGTTTTCAGACCTTTGACCTTAACACCCATTTTTTCAGCATTAGTATTAGAATCAGTATCAATATTAGTATTAGTATTAGTACAGTATCAGTATTAGTATTAATATCAGTATCAGTAGCATTATTAGTACCAATATCAGGATTAGTATTAGTATCAGTAACAATATTAATATGAGTATTAGTATTAGTATGTATTAGTATTAGTATTAGTATTAGTATTAGTATTAGTATTAGTATTATTATTAGTATTAGTATTAGTATTAGTATTAGTATTAGTATTAGTAATAGTATTAGTATTAGTATTAGTATCAGTATGAGTATTAGTATTATTATTAGTATTAGTTTTAGTATTAATATTAATATAAGTATAAGTATTAGTATTAGTATTAGTATTAGTATTAGTATTAGTATTAGTATTAGTATTAGTATTAGTATTAGTATTAGTATTAGTATTAGTGTTGGTATTGGTATTGATATTAATATTGCTATTGGTATTAGTATTGGTATTGATATTGGTATTGATATTGGTATTGGTATTGGTATTAGTATTTGTATTAGTATTAATATTATTATTTGTATTAGTAATGGTATTAATATTAGTATTCTGTTAGCATTAATATTAGCATTAGCAGTAGATTATTATGATTAATGTTAGTCTACATATTAGTATTAGGGTTAACTTTATGATTATAATTAATATTAGTATTAGCATTATGATCATAATTAGGATTACGATTAGCAGTAGCATTAGCATATTAGGATTGGTATTAAGAATAGTGTTATCATTAGCATATTTCGATTTTTATTAGGATAAGAATTATGATCAGTATTATTATTATTAGAATTATGATTAGAGTTAGTATTAGGATTAAGATTAGCATTAACATTATGATTAGGATTATGATTATGATCCGGATTGTGTTTAGGATTATAGCTATAATTAGAATTGGTATTATAATTATGATTAGGGTTAGTAGTAACATTAGCATTAATGTTATGTTAGTATTAGCATTATGATTAACATTAGTATATTAGATTTGGTAGTGGTAATGACTGTGATTAGGATTATAGTTATAATTACAATTGGTATTAGAATTATGATTAGGGTTAGTAGTAACATTAGCATTAATGTTATGTTAGGATTAGCATTATGATTA